TACGTTTGTATGTGTTTGTTGGAAAATGCAGATTCCTAAATTTGCAGCCAGGCAAGAAATATGATTCTTGAGATTCCTACATGTCAGGGCCCGAGGTACGGCGGGGATCGGGAGCCTCGAGCTTCCCCCCCCCCCCCCCCTCCCCCACACTTTTTTGAAAAAGTATATTAAAGAGAAATAAAATAGAATGAGAGCAATGAAACGTCAAAGCTTCCGCGCTTCGCGCAGTAAGGGGGAGCGGGTAAACTAAATTCAGACGAGGATTAAGAGTCGAGAACTGTACAAAAAATCGTCTTGTTTCTCTAATGATTTAATGAAACGTAAAAGCTTCCGCGCTTTGCGCGGGAGGGGGGAGAATCTAAATTCAGACGAGGATTATTTTCGAAAACGGTACAACGAATCGTCTTTTTTTTCTAATGATTTACGGAAAACTTAAAAGCTTCCGCGCTTCGCGTGGGAGGGGGGGGGAATCCTGAATTCAGACGAGGATTAAGAGTCGAGAACTGTTCAGCCAATCGTCTTTTTTCTCTCATAATCTTATGAAACTTAAAAGCTTCCGCGCTTCGCGCGAGAAGGGGGAGGGGGGACCTGAATTCAGACGAGGATTAAGAGTCGAGAACTGTACAGCGAATTGTCTTCTTTCTCTAATGATTTAATGAAACGTATAAGCTTCCGCGCTTCGCGCTGAGGGGGGGGGGAGGGGGGGAACTGAATTCAGAAGAGGATTAATATTCGAGAACGGTACAACGAATCGCCTTCTTTCTTTTATAGTTTAATGAAACGTCAAAGCTTCCGCGCTTCGCGCAGGAGGGGGAGAGGGGGGGGGAACTGAATCTAAACAAGGATTAAGAGTCGAGAACGGTACAACGAATCGTCTTCTTTCTCTGATGATTGAATGAAACGTAAAAGCTTCCGCGCTTCGCGCGGGAGGGGGGGGGGGAGGGGGAGAATCTAAATTCAGACGAGGATTATTTTCGAAAACGGTACAACGAATCGTCTTTTCTCTCTAATGATTTAAGGAAACTTAAAAGGGGGGAACCTGAATTCAGACGAAAATTTAGAGTCGAGAACTCTACATTGAATCGTCTTCTTTCTCTAATAATTTAATAAATCCTAAAAAATTTCGCGCTTCGCGCGAGAGGGGAAAAATTAAATTCAGACGAGAATTATTTTCGAGAACTGTACAACGAATCGTTTTGTTTCTCTAATGATTTAATGAAACGTAAAAGCTTCCGCCCGCGGGGGAGAATCTTAAAAGGGGGGGGGGGGACCTGAATTCAGACGAGATATATTTTCGAGAACAGTACAACGAACCGTCTTCTTTTTCTAATAATTAAATGAAACGTCAAAGCTTCCGAGTTTCGCGGAGGATGGAGGGGGAAATTCGCCCCTCCCTGCACCTGCACCTGCACCCCGCGCCTGGCCCGTACCCCTTGAGCTTCGGGGGGCTTCGCCCCTTGAACCCCACCGGGGCTTTGCCCCTAGACCCCACTTTGAGAAACGTAATTCAGCGGGGCCTGCATGTTAGAGTGGGGTGATTCTGATTTTTTTTTTTGTCAGCCCCCCCAAACGTTTTTGCTCATTACGCCACTGAGCAGCAGCATTCTGTAATCTTTGTAATTTTGCGAGTGGGTTGTGAGGCGAACTAAACAAAAGGCCATTACCAAAATCCAAGCGAGAAGAATTTAAAGCATGAGTAATTTTCTCAGTGGCACTACGGTTAAGATGTTTACGAATAAAACCCAAATTGCGTAACTGATAACGTACTGATTTTGAGACATATTGAATTTGAGTAGACATTTTCATGTTTGAGTCGAGAAACACACCAAGGTTGCGACATACATTAGATAGGGTAATTTCATGTCCAGCAAGAGTAATTGAAGTGATGGAAGAAATCTTCTCTAACTGAGTCTCAGAACCATACATTATAAATTCGCATTTGGCAGAATTTAATTTAAGTGAATGTGAGTTTAACCAATTATGAACATCTTGTACACAAGTCTCAATGTTATGGATAGCGCTGGCTGCATTGCTCTGATTGGGTTTGAAAGAAGTATATATTTGAATATCATCAGCATAAACATGATAAGAGAGAGAATGGTGATGAAAAATATTCTTCAAACCCGTTAAATATAACGAAAAAAGCGTGGGCCCGCCCACATAGCCTTGCGGAACTCCGCATGTAAGTGGTACAAAATCTGAAAGGCAGCCGTTTATCAAGACAGCTTGAGAATGGCATGACAGGTATGATTTAAACCATTCCAGGGCTTGACCTTTAATACCGAGTGACCAGAACAGTGTGGTTAACAGTGTCAAAGGCGGAAGACAAATCAAGGAGTACCATAGCAGTTACTTTTCCGCCATCCATCTCCTGGAGTATAAAGTTGGATACATTAACAAGGAGGGTTTCTACACTGTGGTGGGGACGGTATGCAGATGAAATGGGTCAAGGAGGTCATTATCGAGACAGTAATCATTTACTCTAGAGAACACCACCCTCTCAAGTATTTTAAACAAAAACGGGAGATTAGAAACTGGACGGTAATTACTTAGTAATTCAGAATCAAGATTGGGTTTCTTCAGTAAAGGAAGAATGTGTGCCGTTTTAAGGACAGAAGGTACGCATGCCTGAACGATACTTAAGTTGACAATCTGTGATATAACAGAGGCAAATGAAGAGGAGCAATCCTTAATGAGAACAGTATAGACAGGGTCTAGTTTACACGACTTAGCTGGCAATCTATGAAGCAGTGATTGTATCTCATCGGAGGTGGTAGGTTGAATCGTCTCGAGGGATGCTGACGTGACAGGATCAGGTGGAGTTAGGTCAGGAGTGAGACTGTCCTGAATCTTCTGAACCTTGGAGCGGAAGAACTGAATAAATCTTTGAGCCAGTTCTTTACTATCAGCATGTCTTGGAAGTGGAGAGTTCTGTTTCCGATTCAAGAGACGATTGGCCGTAGAGAAGAGTTTCTTAGAGTCATGTCCACATTTATCGATTAGCCCGACAAAGTACGAATGCATGCATGAACGAGTGTGTGCACATTCATGATCCAATACCTATTGGTAGAGTTGTCATATGGAAATGACCTCCAACGAATTGCAAAGGAAAATATTTCTACTGTACTTTTATCATGCATATTATTAATGCACTTTGTAACATACAAGAGTGAGTGGAAAATGATAAAAAATACCGCAAATCAGTGATGATTATTTTTCAATGTCCATAAGCACCACTGATTGGCCATCTCAGTATGAGTTGGGCACACTATGGCGCTCAATATTTTGTTGGTGCTCGTCCGACAAAGGACAGAAGCCCATTAGTGCCACCATGTGAATTAACATTTAAGAGGAATTATCTGGTGGCCACCGTGTGAATGAAAATTTAAGAGGAATTTTCTGGCGGCCGCAAGATAATTCGTCTTAAATTTTAATTCACATGGTGGCCAGGCACTCATACACCAATTATTAAATATGTGCTCACTTGCTTCGTGTGTTCTCTGGTTACCTATTAGCATATATATTTTGCCCTGCCCTCCGACGCAAAGGCCCCCAAACATTCCGTAATCAAAATTGAAAAATCTCGTCACACTGTTTCCTTTGCAAATTTGGCAGTGTTGCCCTCGTTCTTAGAGTCACTTCCCCCACCATTTATATTGGTGTTAACCCTAGTTCAAAGTATACCATAATTGTGATATGTCATTCACTGAGTTCGTGAAAGAGACATACCGGGTGTATCACCTTCCGATTTTCAATGATGGTGGTGGTAGTGATGGTGATGATGATGGCGAATTTGGTGGTAATGATGGTGGTGGTGATGACGATGATGATGATGATGATGACGATGATGATGACGATGTTAATGGTTTTGATGATGGTGATGATGGTATGAAAGATAATGGTAGTTGTACTTTTGCAAGTGCCTGATGCCTCTTGCCCCCTAATCTTTTAAAATAAGTAACAACTTTCCTTTCCGACTATATCGAAATGTAATTACTGAAGTTGCTCAATAGGTGAAAATGAGGCACCTGGAAAGAGGCACTCACCGGGGATGAAAAAGGGCACTTATGAGAATGGGAAATGGGCATTTGTTGACTGAAATGGGGCACCCATCAGATTTTGGTAGGGGCATTTATAAGAGGTGAAGAGGGAATATTAGAAAGGAAAAGGGCCGTATCATTGTTAAAATCGAAATTACCAGAGGTGAAAAGGGGCACTTATAATAAAGGAAAATTTGCATTTGTTGAAAGAAAAGGGGCATCGATCAGATTTTAATAAGGACATTTATCGCTTTTATGAGAAGGGGGAAGTAGCTCTTCAGTTAAAAAGAAAAATAGTCACATTTCAAAATAAACGGGGCACGTATCAGAGATGCAAAGGGGTAATTATGAAAAGGGGAAGGGGCACTTATAAAAAGAAAAAAGAGCGTTTATTAGACAGGAAGAGGGGCACGTGTCAAAATCAAAGGGGCACTTGCCAGATATTAGAGGTGAGAAGGGGCACTCATCAGAGATGAAAAGAGCAATTATCGGAGGTGAAGGGGGAACTTATCTGTAGTAACTTCTCGTACCTGAAAAGGGTCATTTACCACAGATGAAAAGGGACATTTTTTTTTTTTTAATGGGGGGCACTTTTCATAAGGAAAAGGGGCACTTATTAAAAGGAAATAGGGTACATGTTAAAATTAAAGGTGCGCTTATCTGAGTTAAAAAGGGGCAGTTATTAAAAGGGGAAGGGGCAATTCTTACAAAGTGAAAGGGGCACTATATAATCAAAAGTGAAAAGGGGCACTTCTCGTACCTGAAACGGGGCACTTACTAGAGATTTATAAAGGCACTTATGAGAATGGAAAATGGACACTGATTGCAAAAGATAAAGAAAAAATTGTCGAAGGAAAAGGGGCATGTGTCAAAAAGCATGTCTTCATAGTGCATGGTGTGATCCTTATACACATAAAATTGGCAATGACACTTAATCGTGAAATATCAATGGCTAGCTTCAGTTCCATTTTCATGTGAAAACTAAGACGAGTGAAATCTTGTTCGAACTTCGTTGTTGTCCGACTTTTAAAGTGGTACTAGATCTATAATAAAGTGTAAATACAGACAGTACACCATCGGAAATGGCTTCAAACATTATGAGGGCTTTGCCCAGAAAGCTGGTAAGAATAAAACACTTAAAGAGTTAAATTTGGCCACATTTACTAAGCCTGAGGGCCTGACGCAAATTGCACCATCTCTAATCACGTCTGCACTGCACTGCGATGCCGCCGCAGTGCCTGGAAGCTCCGCATCGATGCGCTGGGCCTGGCCTGGTTAATTGAGCTGAGGTCTGTCTGTGGTATGGCCGGGTGGATCCGGGCTAGGGTTAGAGTTAGGGTAAAATGACAAAAAATGACCGTTTTTGCAGCTGGGCCGAGTTGTCCCCTGGTCCGAGTTAGCCCGACTTCGGCTGGGTGATGTGACCAAAGCTGGCTGCGCATGTCTGTGACTTTCACTCCGTGTCTGTGTGTGTGATGACTTAACTTTAAATAGTCTAGTAGATCTAGTCTACAGTCTAGGTCTAGTCTACGCAATAAAAACTGTCAATTTTGATTTGATATATTGTTATGTTAGTCTTTTTTTCATATAGATCTAAGTCAGAGACAGAGTCAGACTCAGAGATTCTGATTTTTTGATAGATCTAGATGATTCTAAGTCTTGACTTTGGTTTAGGCCCTAATAGATCTAGATCTAGACTAGTAATAGTTAGATCTAGATCTAGGGTCTAAATTGTTGTTCATTAATTAGGCCTACTTCTTCATTGTGTCTGTGAGTCTGAGCCGTGTGAGTGTGACTTTGGGTTGAAAATGAAGATTTTATCGTTTTCCTTCAATGTGGTAGTTCATTTTGGAGGTAAAAAGATTCAAGATTCAAGATTCAAATTAGTCTAGATCTAGATCTAGGTCTATCAAATTAGTCTAGATCTAGGTCTAGACTTCTAGGTCTAGGTTTTATTCACGACTTGTCAAAAAGTCCAAAGACTAAAGTAAAAATGCAAGTTCACATCAAAATACAATATTTATATAGGTTCTAGACCCTATAAAGAAAACGTAGCAAATGGGAGAAGAAAAAGAAAATTATATATAGTCTAGAGTCTATATATATATAGACCCTATATAAAAATGAATAAATGTTTACATCAAAACATCAAAGCGGTATTAAAGAAGAAAAAAATTAGGATCTAGATCTACATGATATAAAATATTGCTAGCAAAATTGAGTAAACACAAACCTAAGGTTTGTTGAAGGAAAACGGGATAGAGGACGTCCACCAATATCTTGGACTGATGATATCAAGAAAGTGTCTAGACAAGGAATGAAAGGTGCAACACAAATAGCAGGTGATAGAGTTGCATAGCGTGCTCTCGTGAAGACCACAGCAGCGCTTTACAGCTCTACCTGAAGTTGATGATGATGATGTTGTGCTTCAAAATATATTTAAATTGAATTACTATTTGTCATACATGTAGGTAACACGGAGTTGCAGCTGTCGTCAGTTTTCAACGGTGAAGGGACTTAATGTAAGTATTCCAAGAGTAAAATAGCAGGCATAAAAAGCAAGAAACCATAATATTAAAGAGGCATGTTCCCCGTATTCCAGAGGGCGTTCAAAATACGTACCCGCTGGCGGACGGTGCTAGCTGCCTATTGACACCAACAGAATTCGGCTCTTACGCAGATGGCATGTTCCGAATGCCCGGACAATACCGATTATCGCATACATGTGCCGAAGTAATGCCAATCGCAGTTCGGCTCTAAGATTCGGCTGCTGTTTCCGCCCACTTTCGTGACGTCGCGATCGTCAGCGATCAGCTGGCTTGGCGAAGGCAGGCCAGGCCGCGCGTACTTTGATTGACAGCTGTATGCAAATTAGAAGTCGATCTTCGGAACCAAGATGGCGATGACTAGAGCAGCGATAACTACACTGGCGGGAACGTGCCACTTTAATAGTTACTCTGAATGAAATTGTATAACTATAAATCAGAGAAACAGATAAGTTGAAGCATGAGAAGTAGGATAAATAGTAGACCGAAAGCTTCAGTCTCTGATATCGACGGTTATTCCGCTGAGATTACATTTTGCTCCTCTGACAGCCTCTATAATAGACTGAAGTACGTCCTATGAGGTACTGTGTGGAATGAATTGTTCGGTTTGGCCGGACCGAGATGAATGAGATATGCAACAAGTTAGAACAAGTAGAACTTTACAAGAACACTTGATAGTTGAGAATGAAGAAAAGAAACCGTAAGCAAAATCATGAAAAAAGTCCTATTGTTAAGGTACAGGGTTTGGATCTTAAATGGTATGATAAATCTGTCTTCCTATTGTAAGCTCCATCTTATTCAGCTTTTTAAAAAATTCAATGATAATCAAAATGAAATTTAGTTAGTTGCATTGAGAACCGTGAGAGTTTGTGATGTTGATAGTGAATTACATTCTCTGTTAACTCCTACCTTTTTTTTCTTTGCTGTTTATTTTTGCTTTTGACAGGATGTAGTAATTGTGAGTTCAGTGAGGACTCCTATTGGTTCGTTTAGGGGTTCCTTAGCCTCTCTACCGGCCCATAGAATGGGTAGCATGGTCATCCAGGCAGCTATCGAAAAAGCAGGTGAAATAGTGCTCTACTTTCATTTTTTTTTTCAATTTTAATTTCTTTCAGCATTTATTGTTATTAAACAATTAAATACTGCATGACCTGGATGTTATTTGTTTGCTGTACATACCTTTGTTGACTTTATATTGAATAAAGTGTTGATTAAAAAATAAAAGTATAATAAAAGGGCCCTGTGCAGTTCAATAGTTCATAATTCAATTCTTAAATTATATGAAGAATTTATTGGATGCATTAGTTTATGTAGTTAATATGTGCATCACACTAAATGGTCTTTTTTCATATGTGATACATTCTCTATATTTTGTTTTACATGAAATATGTTTTGCATTTGTTTATGATTTTTAATGTGTCCAATATGAACTGAATCCACTTCAATTATTTCCACTCCTGGTCAGGTATAACTCCTGAAGATGTGAATGAGGTGTACATGGGCAACGTCCTTCAGGCAGGTCAAGGTCAAGCCCCAACAAGACAAGCAGCTTTAGGAGCAGGTAAATTATAACAATAAAAAATTAGTGAAAATTGTTTGTTTTATCAATCAAGAGTAGCTAGGTTAGTATTAATACTGTTCATTTATGAGGCCGTGTAATAATTTTAGCCCCCAGCATGGTCAGGTACGTGTTACATGCACCTCGGTTGAGAGGGACAATACGGACAAAACACCTTGTCCAAACCTGCCAACCAGTACGATTTAATCTTATTTTGTATGATTTTCCACAACAACAACAACAATTTTTTAAAATAATTTTGTTTGTGTGCGTGTGTGTGTGTCATTTTCAATGACAAAATGCCCATTCTGTCCTGTAAAGTATTGTACAAGCATCTCACATTGGTTCATCGAACACACCAGTCATGTCGAAATCACATATTTTAACCAATGATCCAAAACAAAATTCTTCCTGTATGTAGGGACTGTAAGAGGCATTGATCTGTGTTTAAAAAAAATTAAAAAATAAAAAAAAATAAAAAAAATTGTCAGTAAAATACAACTTTTGGGACTAAAGAATACAGTTTTTGAACTCCAGAGGTTGGCAGGCAGGTCTGCTCCTCCGGGGATGTAAACACCATGACCAAGCAAGGACCATACTCTGGAGGGTACCAGTCACCATAAATATTTTGCTCTTTCCAGGGGCTCCATAATGCTATATGATTTGAGCTTCAAATCTTTGTTCTTTAAAGGCCAGGAGAGATTAGACCACACAGCGTGGTCAATGACAGGTGGTTATCTCATCAACTCAGCTCTCAATTAACATAAGAAAAAGAGGATCATGGGGGACCAATGGTCACCGATTAGGCATTGTTTTCTATATAGAGGGAGCAAGTAGCTACAAGTAGGACAGCGGGCTTTAAAGAAGCATTGTATTTTGGAATACATTTTTAATAATCATAAAGCAACTTATGTGTAAACAGGTTGACGACTAGCTGTTACATAAAATGGAGCCTGCAAGTCCTACTTGAGATCCATGCACTTTTTGTTTTCTTCGTTATATGGGAGCACCTTTAGCACCTCTTGTGATGGATATGAGTGCTATACAAGTAGCAAGTTGTATTAGCAGTTGTAGTAATAATCAACATTGTGCATATTCATGTTTCAACAACTTCTTATACTAAGACTTTCAGTGTAGAGATGTGCCAGTATTACTTATATAAGTAGAGATAATCGCATGCTGAGTTAGGCATTGATTTTATTTGAGTGGATTGTAACGAGCCATGTTTTTTAAAGATAAAGTTGAGTTCTGGTCATGTGATTGCATTGTGAAAGAAACGGTGTGGAATCTATCAGAAAAGGTTGATCATCTAGTATATAAGTATTTGTGTGTATTGCAAGGTTCTGGAATCATCAAAATGATAAGAAATTTGGTCAAATCTTGGCAAAGTTACAAGCACTCTACACAGAATGACGTATATGGGACTACGCGAGCACATGGCGAAAAAAACCTACCCTGGATTTTTACGATGTTTCATGTCATATTTAGAATATGAAGGCATTTGAAGAGCCATGCTTTTCAGGGAACATGTTTTATCTGATGTCCTTCCATCCTTGCATATAATAACAATGATAATGCTCATAAATTATTTTTTACTTCTTCCCAGAACTCAACCTTCTCTTTAAAGATTTGAAGCATACATCATTAGTTATCATAAGATGATAACGTGGATCCTAATCAAATGATTGGTTCAAAGCGTACACATGACCAGGCATTTATTTTGCCTAACACCTAATTTTGATAATGACTGGTCATTAGTAAAATCATGTTATAAAACTTCATTTTATAAAACAAATAAAACATAATCCTATAAAACAAATATTGTTCGAGCATTAGTAAAATTACCCACACTCGGTACCTTCAAAACAGTCCAAACACCCTCGGCTATCGCCTTGGGCGTGTTAGACTGTTCCAAAGGCACCTTGATTTCTTACTAATGCCCTCACTGCTGTGTATTATTTGTATACTAGTTAGTATGATGGTCTGTAATTCATCTTGCTACAGGTCTTCCTCTTGGCACACCCTGTACCACAGTCAACAAGGTCTGTGCATCGGGCATGAAGAGTATTATGATGGCAGCACAAAGTCTTATGTGTGGACATCAGGTAAGCCTTCAATAATTTCCATTCTCTTTGTACACCCTGTACCACTGTCAACAAGGTCTGTGCATCAGGCATGAAGAGTATTATGATGGCAGCACAAAGTCTTATGTGTGGACATCAAGTAAGCCTTCAATGAATTTCTGTTCTCTTGGTACACCCTGTACTACTGTCAACAAGGTCTGTGCATCAGGCATGAAGAGTATTATGATGGCAGCACAAAGTCTTATGTGTGGACATCAAGTAAGCCTTCAATGAATTTCTGTTCTCTTGGCACACCCTGTACTATTGCTACAAGGTTTGTGCATCAGGAATTAAGAGTGTTATGATGGCAGCAAAAATTCTAATGTGTGGGTATCATGTAATCCTTCAATACATGTTTTCTCTTTTGGCCCACCCTGTAACTCTATCAGCAAAGTCTGTGCATCAGGAATGAAGAGCGTTTTAATGGCTGCACAAAGCCTTATGTGTGAATATCAACCAAAAAAAACCATCCCCACTTGCTTTTCGCTTACACATGAAAAAAGATCCCTAAAACTTGCAGGTGTCCCCTGGCATGTTTGAATGGCCCTTAACTGATTACGTAACAACCATGAATCTTTGTATTTGTTTGATTCTCAGGATGTAATGGTTGCTGGTGGGATGGAGAGCATGTCTAACGTTCCTCTGCTCATGGCTAGAGGTGATCCTGGCTATGGAGGGGCCAAACTAGAGGTAATACATGCAGTTATACCGTATTTGCTGGCGTAAACTGAGGCCGCAGTATTTTTGGAAGAGAAAATATCAAAAAGTTGGGGTGCGGCCTTTGCGGCGAAAGAGTAAAAAATAAAAAAAAACGAAAGTCAAAATCAGCACAAATTTGCACATATGGGACTACGAACGGTAAAATAACTATACCACTATGGTACAGGACATTTCCACACATCTTACCGACAATTTTATCTTGCATTGTTGACAGGAAGACAAAAATAAACGTTCTAAAACAACATTTGCCGACAGATCTTAATCTAAGTTCATGCCAATGCATTGCAAAAGTAAAGGAAGGGACCGTTTAACGGAGCTGCCTCAAAGCATCCATCCGAAGTCGCCATTTTGTTTTCCATTTCATGCAATTTCGCATTACACCGTACATTGTGGTAGGGGTATACATCAGACACCAAATCTGCCTGCGATCACTTTTTTAGCTAAACTTCAGGTAAATTATAAGAATATTGATGAATTTGGTATCAGTTTGTAAAAAAAATATAGTGTTTTACGAGAAAATTATGATTATTTTGTTTTGTCTGTTTGTTTTTTTTTCCTTTTTTTTTTTCCTCTCTTTTTGAAATGTCAAAGTTGCGATGCGGCCTTATCGCCGGCAAATACGGTATTCACCTTGATGATGAGATCATGATGTATGCACGGTAGAGGGGTGTGAACACAGAGTTTGATCATTCATTTGATGTCTTTAGTTTGACATGGTATAATGTAAGGGCATATAATATAGAAACAGAGGTGCCAGGCTTGAGGTAAAAAATTTAACTGTTATATCTTGATGAGGGACTAATCTGCTGGCATGGACACTTATTTTGACACAATTCCTTAAAGTCTTGAGCAGAGCCTAACTCTGTCAGTTTAGTGGATCCACTTGGTTTTAAAACCGGGGCCTACCACTGCTCTAACGCTAATCCATCCTGCCCATCTAACTGTATTTGTATTCTCATTCCCCAGGATGCCATTGTAGGTGATGGACTCACAGATGCATACAACAAGTTTCACATGGGGAACTGTGGAGAGGATACGGCAAGGAAACTTGGCTTTTCCAGAGAAGAACAAGATGACTTTGCTATCAGCTCCTACCAGAAGAGCCAAGCAGCAGGGGCAGTATGTACACACTAATTAACCCTCTGGTGAAGAGCACTGTTGATGTCACAGCTTGTTGATAGCATTTGTTGATGATTCTTTAAAGGCTGTCTGTACTAGTTTGGCCAGGGGGGGGGGATTAGACCACACAGTGTGGTCACTGACAGGTGGCTACAGTGTATCTCATCAACTTGGCTTAATAGTTTTGATTTTAGTGGCGACGGTGAAAGTGGAGGTGGTGGAGATTATGATACTGATGTTGATGATGATGATGATGATGATGATGATGATGAGGATGATGAGGATGATGATGATGAGGATGATGAGGATGATGATGATGATGATGATGATGATGATGATGATAATAATGATGAGGATGATGATGGTGATGATGATGACAGTGATTATGGTAGTAAAGTGATGATTGTGATGGTGGCGCTGGTAAAGGTAGTGATGGTTATGATGACGACACTAAATGAAAATGCTGTAGCGACAGTGTAGCTGGTAAGGGTATGGTAGTGTTGACAAAGAGAAATAAACTATCATGATACAAATGAATTAGTTTTAATCACAACTAAAGATTTTGCCAGTATATATATCTCAGTACAGCATATGAATTTGCTATGAATTTTGCTATACCTACGAAAAGTACCTTGAACAGTACCCTGTATATTACCTGAACTGAGAACAGTTTATATTTTCTTTTTTTAATGAATTGATAAACTTCTTTGTCTTATATTTCCAGAATAAAGTTTTTGACAAGGAAATTATCCCTGTTGGTGTCCCACAGAAAAGAGGTAGGTCCTTAAATCAATTTCTTCCTGATACTTAAAGTTTTTTAAGATACCCGGTACTTAATGGTTAAATATTTCAAAGCAGTGAAGAAACTAATGTTACAGATTCAGAAATTTTAGACTTTATTGCAACATTAAATTTCACAGAAGTGCAGGAAATTGTGTTGAACACTGACAACTTTAATCTCTTGTATGTACTAAAGTTTCATGACATACATGCAAATTGTTTAAAATATGTCACTTTCTATTGCATCTCATGTTTCCATGCCAACAGGAAAACCAGATGTTGTTGTATCAGAAGATGAAGAATACAGCAAGGTCAACTTTGACAAAGTCCGCAGTCTGAAGGCAGCCTTTGAGAAAGATGGTAAGCTGTTTTTTTTTCTTTGCCTCATCAGGATTTATCAGGTATACATGGTTTACATTCAAAGATACAATGATAAAAATCAAACTTACATAATCACAAAAGCATCATTATTGGCATAACAAAGAATTGAAATTAAGTTTTGTTTTGCTTTTGAGAATGATGGTAAGCTCTAATCCCTTTCACATTAGGGTTGGTGAGGGCTGAATTGATCAGCTATTCTTCAAATTGGCAACACCTTTGTTTGAATAAAGTATGAGTGTTGTAGATATATATATATTTTTAAAACAAATGTTTTTATTGTTATTTCTGAAAAATTAACAGAGTAAAAGCAACAATATAATATATAATATCATCTTAAAACTACAAAACAGGCACCGCTCATGCACCCATATACACGCACACACACACACACACACACACACACTCACATACTTTCCCAGGGGGCAAGTTTCATTACAAAGAGTCAATAATGATATTAAGGACAACAGAGGTATGCAAAACTACTACAAAATTTGTGTTGTAGATATATTGAACATGACTGAGACACTTGATCATGGAAATGCCACGCTGGTGCAGTGTTTTTATTTGCACGATTATTCAATAGAAGTACATAATCTAAATAATTGGGGGAGGTTAGCCGGTTAACCATGGCTAGTGCAAACAAGGCTTATTAACTCAATGTGAGCAAAAAGTGAAGAAATAGGATTGTTACCTGTAAAACTATTAATATTATATATTTATATAATTCATTAATAGACCATTTCGTAGTTAGCACATGGGTCAAATGACCCCAAATATCCGCAGATCTTTTACTCATGGAGAAGTCCCACTTTGTGTATTTTAGAATAATCAATGCCAAAGTCATGTATGTGCTTCATGAAAAGTTTTTGTTTGCCCTCTTGTATCATAGAATGTACTATAGGTGCACACATGAATAATGATTACATAACATGGGCACGTATTTGTCTCGGTGGGTTTTACAATTTTATCACAAATGACCTTTCCTCTGTTGTTGTTATTAACAGGTACTGTAACAGCAGCCAATGCAAGCACACTGAATGATGGAGCAGCTGCCATGGTTCTTATGACTGCTCAGGCAGCAGTGAAGCTAAAGGTCAAACCACTGGCTAGGATAGTAGGTAAGAACTGGTGGATAGGATTTATTATAAGATGATGAAGTAGATCCTAATAAAATGATTGGTTGAGAGTGTACACATGACCAGGCATTTATTTTGCCTAACACGTAATTTTACTAATGACCTGTCATTAGTAAATGCTTATGACCGGTCATTAGTAAAATCTTGTTATAAAACATCATGTTATAAAACATCATCTTATTAAACAAATAATACACATAATTTTGTTCAGGTATTAATAAAATTACCCACACTCGGTACCTTCTAAACAGTCCAAAAAAAAAATGACTTTCACCTCGGGCGTGTTAGACTGTTCCAAAGGTACCTTGGGTGGGTAATTCTTACCCATGCAAGGGCTAGGGCTGCAATTATGTTTATATTTTGGGTTAGGGGTGTAATCATGTTTTAGGTTAGGGTTGGGGTTGTAATTGGGTTTTCAGTCGGGTAGGGTTAGGTTTAGGGTTAAGTATATTGCTGGAGCGCATGGTTGAAACTAGGAATTCAGTTAATGTAGGAACTTGGCCATGGAGCAATCGACACAGCTTGTGTTGTACAGGTACGAACTCACTCGTACAATAATGACACATACCTTATTATCATCATTGTTTTATTCAGCAAATTCAAAGAAGTTAGTATTTATCTGTAGATGCGAGCAGATGTTTATGATAGACAATTTGTTTTTTACTGATGTGTGTCGATCAAAATTCCATTATGTTACATTAAATATTAGGATCTTGTATAGACAGACCAAAGAGAGGTTCACTAGACCACAAAATGTATTTTATGAGATTTTCTTCACGCAACCAATTAATGTTTTTCCACTGTGTCATTCTCACTGCACATGAGTCATAGAGATCAATCTATTTTCTTTCTTTTTTTCCTGTTTTTTTTTCTTCAAATAATTTTTCTAGGGTTTGCTGATGCAGCTGTGGCTCCCATTGAGTTTCCGATTGCTCCTGCCTATGCCATGCCAAAGGTATGTCTTTCTCGTCAGGTTACATGTTATCCAGAACACTTCAGTTTGATTAGATCTTTGAAATTGAATTCAATAATCCACATTTTTGATCAGTTGGGGCAAGAGTTAATCAAAGTTGAAAAATTGAAAGGCAAATCCTTTTTAAGGCTTTCCCTTCATTTGTAGCTACACTGATCATGTCTTGCAAATTTCTCTGATTTTTTCCCCTTCTGTTGTTAAATGAAATAAAAAGATGATTAAGAAATGAACTGAAGGGTTCCTGACAAGAACAATGTTTTATTTACTGAGTGACCGGGTACCAAATGAAGAATATTACAGAAAACATATCAAGACCTTATAGATTGATTCATACTATTGTAGTGACTTGACCTTAGAAGAACTTTGCATTTGTAAATATTGTCTTGTCGTCATTGTGTGGCTTGAAGTCTGGCCTTTTATTCAATTGTCAGTCTTTTCTTTAGTGGCACCTGTAATAATATAATATTATTAGAGTGCCACACATACTTTCTCTGGCAAGCACATTCTAAACCTTATTGTATTGGGATGTGCAGTTATTCTGGCAAACACATTCCACACCCTATGTATTGGGATGTGCAACCCCCTAAGGTACTGGTATAGCATGCATATTACACTTGCTTGCCACACCTATATTCATCACTTCTCCTGAGCTGTTCTTATAGAGCACACGTCTTCTAGAGAGGGTCTAAAGTCTACACCAAAGCTAATTCAGCTTCATCGTAATTCATGTCCTACTTCTTCGCTTGTTTCTCTACTCGGTTCTAAGGCCTTACTACTTTATAGAGATTATGAGTTTCTTCTTCCTTACCTAATCCGCAAAGGAGCGACATTACTTTGTATATGGTCTTACATATTCTTTCTAAGGGTACTGTGCAATTTTTTAACTACTGCTTATTATTCACCTTGTGAGATAATATATGTCCCAGGTGTCGGTATTCAACAGGTGTATCTACGAGACAAGGTAGGAAAGAAATCATTTTCTATTTCTTTTATTTTAGGTGATCAATTCCCTAAACTATCATTACATGTTATATTCATATTTGTGTGCCAGGTTCTAGAACAAACTGGAGTGAAGAAGGAGGACATTGCCATGTTTGAAATCAACGAGGCCTTCAGCGTCGTCGCCCTTGCCAACATGAAGCTCCTTGACCTTGACCCTACAAAGGTCAACATCAATGGGGGTGCTGTCAGTATTGGTCATCCTATCGGGTGAGTTAGTTTGCGTCGTGTCATAACAGTGATAGATATATTTATGTTTACAGCGGAACCTTGTTATAAAGAGCTCCGATTTGACAAGGTACATGTATCTGTTATAACAAGGTGATTTCGCTGGTCTCAGCCCTTTATATTCTTCTATTGTTTATCCTGATAAAACAAGGTAATTACCATGGTCCCACAGACCTCGTTATAACGAGTTTCCACTGTACTGGTAATCATGTTTTGTATTGGGACTTACTTCATGAAACTTCTGTAAACATGTAGGGCTGAAACGTAATCTTGAGTGTAAGTATGCTGGTCAAATCCAAAGAAGTGAGAAGAAAAAAAACACTTCCCCTGATTTCCAACTGTAATACACTTGTTAGGGTAGAAGAACAAACCCCTGAAAGGTTTGCTCCAGAAAGCCTGAATTATTAAAAATTTACATGTGGAAAGGGTGGATATTTTCAGGATTTCTCTGTCATTTAAATACACATCTAGTAATCATATTCAATCGATATTCAATCAATATGTATTATTTTATTATTTTCCTCCATTCCTAGGCAAGTAATCACATTGTATTGTTGGATGTAACACCATTGATGTTATGTTATTATTATGTTTTATAATCTGTGTAAGTATGTACATTGTTTGTAACACCTGTACCAGTGAACAACAAATTTCCATTTTGTATGGACAATAAATCAATTCAATTCAATTCAATTCAACTCAATTCAATAATATCTGAAGTGAAAACCTGTACAGAATTCATTGTGTAGTTACCTTTAGTGCATGCTAAATTTGATAAATATGTTTGGAACCCTAACATACAGTACATGTACAGAATAATACAATTTTTGGTAATTTGTCCAGTTTTAAACAGCAAGAAGCACACTTTTCCGCCAAGTGGATGACCTTCCCAAGTATGTGTGTTAACTTTATTCAAGTTCTTAAAAGTTCTGTTCATTTATTTTGTCAGGATGTCTGGAGCACGTATCACAGGCCACATGGTCCATAACCTCAAACCAGGAGAGAAGGGATTGGCCGGTATCTGTAACGGAGGGGGCGGAGCTTCTGCTATCCTCATCGAGAGATTATAATCCTTGTATGATCCTTCATTATAGAAGAATTTTCACATTGGTTACGTCTTAAGGAGAGAGGATTTCAATGAAATTGGAAAGATGTCAATTTAAGGAGAGTGAGAAAAATTATGGAGGAAAAATGCATATTGCATTAATGTGACTTGTATATTTTTTTCTGTGGTTGATGTTTGTCATTTGAGTATCATGCTTGGGTTAAAAATACATCATATTGGTGAATGGCTAAGCTTCATACTTGCATTTATGATATTTTTGCTGAAAAGTGCATGTGATGTGTGGTTAGCAGAGAGGCAAAGACCCCTTGATATGTATATACAGATTTCTTTTATTGACTGATACCCATGAAGATTGATGTGCTCGTGACTATTTGACAGTTTAGATATTGAGAATGTCTGAATGGATAACTCTATATGAAGAAAGAGACTTTGTATTTTCTCAAAGAGAATGTAATTATTAAATAAAATTTATTTCTCTATAAATGTTTTCCTTTCTCATTTTACTTTCTGAACGAAACAGCAGTCATTCATATGATGAATTGATTTAATTATTTATGTTTTTGATATTATTTCAACAAGTTAGCCACGCCAGTAATTAGAATATTGTGAATAATCACGACCCTTTTGAAGTAGTACCAACAATTTTTTTTCTTCAAATTTTATGATCATTTGGAATAAGATGAGATAGAGACATGGAAGTTACATGCAGTTTGAAATTGTTGGTATTCATATTGTAGAATGGAAAAGGGTGTTCACTAATGACCCCGTCGCTCTGTGTTTGGAATTTGTTGGTGTTCTATCTTGGTGAAATGTCACTTTGAATCATGCTCAAAACTGACCTATACGTACAAAAAATAAAATCCATCCATGTTGGCTGTATTGTAACAGTTGGGGGCCTTTGAATGTGTTTTGACAGAAATATGGCACCAAAGATATGCTATGAATCATCGATATCATCATCATCATGAGGTTTATCAGTTCATAGACTGTAAAACTCTCGTTTCTTTTTTTTATGTTTCTATTCACATCTTGTTTTAATGAAAAAGTGATGATCACTTTAATACAGATGCTGAAATGCTGTTGCGTTGATGTGAATATTATCTTTGGTTTTTTCTGCTTGTGTGGATGTATGCCTTTCTTTTCTTTTCTGATTTGTGCTGAAACGTGTATTTTTGAAGAAGTGCTTTAATTGTACTAAGGCTGTGCTTTATGAAGTAAAACACCCTTCAAATAGTGTGCTTAATTTGTGTGTTAGTACACTTTTATTTTTTGCTGGCCACTCTACAAGTTGATTAGGGCATTTATGTGTAGGCCCAAGTTATGCCAATTCATGAAAACCAGCAACGATGATGCAGTTGATTTTCAAAAGGTCAAAGATCATTGGCAGCCTTTATTCATCTATTTATTTATTCATGTGATATTCTTTCAAAAGGTTAGCCCCATCAGCATTTGAGATACTTGTATACACCCTGCATTATGCTTTTCTATTTGCAAGTCTCTGTATTTGTCGAAAACAAAACAACTTAACACTTTAAAATAGAATGTTTTCTAAGAGGTTTCTTAGAACCACAATATTCAGATTTCATTTTTTGACTTTGAAAGTATTCAGTAGGCACCAAACCTGAAATACAATATTGTGTAGCATAATTAGAATTAAGTAGCAAGTGCATTGAGCAATTGTCAAGTGTTAACAAACATTGTTAAACAATGTAGTTATTGTATACTGTATGTATACAAATCTGGCACATTTCAAACATAGTAGGTTCACTAGTGCCCATGCACAAGTCTTAAAAAAATACAATTGTGATGACATGTAATCCCACTAATGGGATCTGACCCTGTAGATCCCCCAATTACTTTATTTTGGCAAAGACGCCAAACCACTGTACTGTTTAAATGTGGTTCATGTCGTGACCAAATGATGTGAAGTACAAGTATTGCAATAAGTGATGGATTCAAATATATTATATTTTATGATCACACAAAGAATTTCTTTGGTATACTTGAGTCATTTTTAGTTCTCTGCCTCTCGTTTCATACCCATGTAAAGTCACCAGTTTATTTTCTTTACTGGTGGGGAAAAAAAAATGAGTACTAAATGGTACTACCCTCCAATGATTACCACACACTCGTGGGTAGAAGAGATGTGAGAAATGAGGAACTGAATAAGACACAGAGAGAGAGAGAGGAAGAGAAGTGAGACAGAGATACAGAAACAGATTAAAATAAATATTGGAAGACAGAGACAGTCTTGAAGATGCAAAGTATATGTGATGTGTTGCTCTGGAGGTCAACTGTTTCTGAAAATTCAATTCCCCTTTAAAGAATTAAGCATGACAACAAACTATAAGAAATAAGACATCAACACCATTTTTACTATAAACTTGTTGTTTTTTTTATTGCTGTAGTCAAAATTTGAATAAATAAATAAACTCTTTGGCACTATCATACCAGTTACTTTTGTACAATGCTCTACACCAAGTTACAAAAACCATATATACCAGTTCTATTAGATAATAATGATATACTGCTTCTGAAGCAAATATATACGCTGTATGATGAGCAAATCCTCTAACCAATACATACTCTGACTAATAAATGAGTTTCAATTCCCAATCTAGAAACAAGTACATAGATATATTTTGTTTTAACAACTGAAGAAGAATAAAAGTAAGCTGCAACAAATGTTCAATACAAGGAAGGAAATACAGTTCCTCAAATACCATGGAAAATATATATAAAACAAAGCACATACATGTACACAACAAAATTGGAATGTGATACAACAAAAGTGAACTATATAAAGCTTCTAACAAGGTTTCGTGTATGTCCTGTTTTCCTTCACCAAAGAAATACTGATAAAACGAGTACAGTGAATACAGAAAGCACACACACAGACAGGGACTAACGTTACATTGTATGAAAGCAAATCAAATGTTAAACAAAGAAATAACATGGTAATTATAGTGCTGGTCAAAGTCATGGTCGTCAAAAATAGATTTGCTTCATTTCACTTACATGTAAATATTTATTTGGAAAGTGAGCATAGAAATTGTATCTGCTAATTATTGGAGTTCCTTGGAACTTCATTGTGTGGCATGTACGAATGCTACACTGTAAGTAAGACTCCACTGCATGTATCAATGAACGACCTGTAACAGCAAGTTGGTAACAGCAGTTGTTCAGCACAATTATCCGACCAGATATGTAGCTTGAATAGTTTCTGGAAGACTAATTTCTTTTTTAATAATTTTAATGACCATGACAATGTTAATTACTCCAAAATAAGCTTTGACTGGACTTGTATTGAATACAATCAGAATCAGTTGGAATTATCTATGCTATCACAGTATTAGTACTAACATTCTTCATACCTCATATATGTTCTAATAATTAGTACCGTTCATGGAAGAGTATGAAGTAAATATGCATTTATATAAATATATATTCATATTTCTACATATATATCCAATATACATATAGTCATATCCAAAAGCTCAGATATTTAAATATTACCTCACTGAACTGCAATTGATTAAAATCTAGAGTATTTTTTTTTCTTTTCATTCATTAGAATATAATTCTGAGTAGTTCACAAAAATAAATAGGCTTCTAAATGGTGGAACAATGTTTGGTAGTCCAAATGAAAGCCATCGTGATCCTTCATGTCAATCTCTGGATAGTTTTCACTTGATATACCAAAGAAGCCAAGAGAAAAAATGTCATCTCTAAAGGACATGTGTATCAGTTGCATATTGCTGTCCTGTAACTTTCCTGACCTTTCATGAATATCTTCATAACAATTATGTCAAATATATGCTTTTCAATATTCCTCCCCTTTAGTACAAATTGAAAAAGAAAAAACTAGTGTAAATCAACATCCTAAAAATAGAAATTAAAAGTAATTTTTATGAAATCTGTTTTTACCTATGCCTATTGTCAAGCTTAAAGCAAAATGAAAGAAGCCTCTGATAAACACTGCTATCCTGAGAAAAGAAAGAGCACATCTATACAATATACACATATAAATCAAACAATTAAGTAATAGAACATCTCTTCAAACTATGTTTTCTACCAGTGAAAATAGCAAACATAAATGAAATAACAATACTAACATTTACACAGCCTTAATATCAATATTTCTAAGCACTGTACATGTATTATCGACAAATTATATCTAGGCTTGAAACTTGACTAGAATTTACTAATACTTCTGAAAAGTCTTTGTAATACTGTATAATAATGCACCACTCTGTGCATGTCATGTTATAAATTTGTCTTGATATATATATATATATATATATCAAAATGTACAATAATTAGTTGTTTCTTCTTGAAAAGGAAAGTGATTTATAATTATATTTCTATTCTTTATATTTTGATACAGTCATTTATAATTATATTTCTATTCTTTATCTTTTGATAGTCATTTTTATTTTTAAAATGATATTCATTGTCATCTATTTTAATCCCATATTCATGAACATGGCGCGTGTTGCAGTTAAAGATGACATAAGATACATTCATGAAAAACTTAGAGATAAACTCCAAAGTCAAAATACATCTTTAACACTCTCTGTCTGATAAATACTGAGTACTGGTAGTCAACTCACAGTCATACTTGATCATGAAGAAAACTCTCAAAGAGACTTGCATATATCTTTATTCTTTATAAATACCTTAGTCACACCAAAAAGACCAACTCCAGACCGACTACAGACCAAACAGAACATTACTCCAAATGAAAAATAATTAGTCGGTTTAGAGTCGGTTTGGAGTCGGTTTCGCGGTTTGACTGTGGTATTACTTTAAATGCCTTCTTCTGAATATATTACTATTTCAGTATATACATGCACACATATGGCTTTTATACTAAATATATGGACTAGTAAATGGTTTGAAAAATGGCTTGGTAAGAAAAAGAGATTACGATGAGTAGTCAAAGGCCCCCGTTTACATTCTATTAAGAAATCGTAGCAATATTTACAGCATCATGTTAAAGGCTGGAATAGTAATAAGATGAGGTGACGAGGTAATAGTTTGTGCTTTGTAAAGTAAACAACTTGAAATCATGCTCAAAAGCATACATCGAGGGGTCAGTGACACAAAGACGTAACTCTATTTTGAGAGAAAGTGGTTTATGTGTCACTGAGCACTTGGGCCTTAAGAAGTTAAGTCTATGTTTCACTAGCCATTGACTTCAATGGGGTTGGGTGGAGTTAAGTCTTTGTGTTTCGTGGAAAGCCCCCCATTTTTCTGAACATTTTGATATCAAATACTCATTTTCATAAAATATGGAGTTACGTCTTTGTGTCACTGAACCCCCTGATACGCCTTCCACGATTCATTGTCGTGTAAAAAATGACAGGAGTTTAACAAAGATTACAAGGCAGTAGACAATCATTTACTGGCTGGAATGAGAGTGAGTTTTACTCAAGCCTAGGTAATTAATATCTCACGAAAATAAACCACTGTATTCAATTGCATGTATATAGTACATATTTAGAGTAGTACTGCACAGCTTGAGTAATATTTCAAGAACATATTCCAAGAAGTCTAACTATCTTCTACACTTTTCCTACCGGTTTTCATATCTTGCTCTCTCACCCCCCCCCCCCCTTACTCACTCCCTCTCTCTCTCTCTCTCTCTCTCTCTCTTCCATATATTTGTTATGTTTATTCTCTTCTCCTCCCATACATTACGTCTCAACTTAGAAGCTCTAAATCTCGTTTGATTCTCATTTGGAATGCAATAAAGAAAAGCCTCTATCTCCACTTGAATTGGCCCACCGTCACAACATACCTAGGAATGTACCAAATTTGTTCCCTGCCAGAGACAGAATATACCACATCAGCTCCGTACAGAAGACACTTTAGAATGCATAGACCCTACTCTTTTTCTTCACTGTGTGATGCAGTTGGAGCCGAAGTCCTCCGCGTATCTATCCGAGATGAGACTGCGTATGAGGTCGATGTCCCCCCTGAGCTTCTGCACCTGTGTCAGCTTGGCTCGGATCACGTCTTCACTTCCCGACTCGTCGTACTCATCGACGTCGAACGACATGGTCGATGATGCTGTGGAAGTGATAATGTGCAAAACAATTAAGATGTGTAATCATATAGGTGGAGCTGCGTATCTAATTGGTTAACACTGTAGTCTCAGAACCAGGGCCCATATTCAATTCAAAACTTAAGTACAAAATTTAAGCTTTTTACTTAATATTTGGCTTAAATAAAATACTTAGCGAATTTTGGTATTCAATTCAAACTTTGGCTAAGTATTTTATGCTAAATCTAAGACAGCTGCCTACCAGACTTAATCCAATTATTTGGAGGCCTTGATTGGCAGGCATATGGTTTTCTTACGTAGTATTATAACCTGCGCGCATTTATTGCAACGCATTAATAGCACATTACTTTTGATTGACCGTGTGATGTCACAATGCTTATCAGTTTACTTAGATTTTGTCTTTCGTAAGTATAAGTCTAAAATGCGATTTGTATATAAACCGGTAAGTAAATTTCTTAGCTTAGCCATTTACTTAGTAAATTTCTTACTTAGGCTAAGTATTGAATTGAATACCGGCCCGGAGATCTATTGTGATTCAATGCAGTTTCCCACTTGAAATAAAGGGGGGAGGGGTTATACTGGTTCAAAATTGAGTTATCTACAGAGAAGAGACAAGATCGTGATGAAGATAAACATTTGATCAACCCTTTTCATGCAAATTCTTTCTCAATTGATTAAGATTAAGATGTTCCTGGCTCTGTTCCATCAAAGACAAAGGTTTAGGGCTAGGGTTGCCCATTGGGTTTTATGTGTAGGATAGGTTTAGGACAAGGTTTAGGAATAGGTCAAAAAGTCGGTCCAGGTTCGAAGTCAGGAGTCTGGCTAGTGTCCTATATATTGCCAAAGAGCAAATGTAGCCAGAGCATGTTTCGTACAACCACCCTGGCAAGAAACCTGGGGGTGTTTCACAAAGATCCTAAGTTGACCTTATCTCTGAGTTGGACTTAACTATGGCAGGCCATTCACGCCACTGGTTGTTCTCACCATTGGTCTCTCAATTATGAACTTTAGATAATATTTTTTCCTTCAAAATGAATTATCAAAAAAGGTGAATTCTGTAGATTTGTGACAACAATTTGTATATCCCTTAAGAGATCAATGCCAGTAAATGGTGAGAGCAAACAGTTGCATGAACAGCCTGCCATAGTTAAGTCCAACTTAAAGTTGATCTTAGTCATTGTGAAACACCCCCCTGGATACATTGACCAACTTACGTCTGAATCCTAGCAGCAGTGAGACATTTGGCTCCTGACCCTCGGCCCTCTGATTTATGAGTTCCACTAATCTCTGAAGCTCCTGGACACACAGACTCAGCTCCTTGACCAACTGACCGGTGAAACGAGCCTTGTCCGAAGAGACTTGCTTCTCAAGGCCCTGGACACTCTCCTGAAGGGAGAGATTGTGGCCGTAAAGCTCCTGGCTCTGTGACGCAAGCTGTGAAAACCAATCATACAATCGCAATGTCAGATGAATATTAATGTGTGTTGTGTGTGTAATTGAGTTTTTACAGACGTGTATCAATCAAATATGATTATTAACGTCTGGGGCCGACTTTTAACATCACCATCCGAAAGACATAACTCAGTTATGAACCTGCATACTCGGCTGAATCATTTTGTAACTTCCATTATTAGCTAGATTACAGGTGCACACCACAACGCCCCGTTTGGATATTTATTGACAAGTTATAAGAATTTATAGGCAAAACTGCAGGCATCATTTAACATAACATGAATGAAAATTGGTCAACGGTGTAATTGACAGCTAAAGACAACTAGGAAATAAATGCAAAATGCAATTTGAAATAATCTACAAGGTATCCACAAAATTACGCTTAGAAATGAAATTTGTGGATAATCAAGACATGTTTTGTTCAAAGTTTTTCATTATCATTTTTAATGAAACTCATACATTGTATGCACTAAGAACAAGATTAGCATGATACTAGACTGATAGCGCATTAGCTTACTACAGGCACTTAATAAAAAAAGAGAAATGCTATCAATTTTCACAGAACCCTAATGATGGAATTTTTTCCCAATTTTTTTTTTTTTTTTTTCAATGCTAGAATTCAAATTGTGATTCAAGTTATCAAGCAACTATCACAAATTTGGATCACGTCCTAAATTTGTAAAAGAAGAATTTCTGGCTAATCTTATCCAGATTGGAAATGAGTAGAAGAGAATCTTACATCCTTCATTGATCTGGTCATATCTTGTAAAGCCGAATCCTTGTTGTTGAGCTCCACCCTCAGCGCTGTGATGACTCCTTCCTCCTGCATGAGACGTGACTCCATCTCCTCTAGCGCCCTCTGGTGTTCACTCTGCACCTTCTGAAGATGTCTGTGCTTGCTATCTATTACCTGAAATTAATATTTTTAAGATAAATTGATAAGCTCCAGTGTTTTATCATAGAAGAATACAACATTTTTAAAAGTGAGGCATAAATGGTCTTGATTATAAATACATATTTTTTGATTAAGGATACTTTAAAAATGCTTCTTTAAAAGAATAATATTTCTTACAGAGTTAGATCAGGATATCTTACTCATTTCTTGTAATGACCTTTGTTCCAGAAGAGTTTTGTCCAAAGAAAATTTGTCCCAGAAGAGAATTAAAAAAATGCAACTAACAAAATCCAATGGCTAATTTACAGGTGAAATCATGTTACAGTTATATAAACTCAAGTTCACAGAGGATTGAATACTGTGATGCGTTAAACAAAATGATCTAAATATTTAGAATAAGAAAACAAAAAAGCGATAAAATAATACAAAAACTATTTATTGCCGCTCATTCTCCAAGACAGATTGAACATAGACCAAAGTACATATTTTTTCAATTCATAATGCATTGGAGCATAACATATGGAAGAAGTGTCATGTATTCACTTACTTTCTTCAAATGTTCCACACTTGAAGAATGTCTCTCGTTCTCTTCTCTAAGTTGTTCAAGATCTTCCCTGTTGCATAGCTCAAGATCAGTTGGGTCACCAGTCTCATTAGATCCCAATGCTTTATGTAGTTTAGACATCTCCTTCTTCATCCTGCACAATGACACATAATTTTCAGTACATGTTGTATGAAGGGAAACAAATTCAAAGATGCTTCAACAAGGCTTCGCATTAACTTTGTATTTATTTTGAGGATACTATCAAATGACAAGGAATGCTGCAATATCTGTTCATGGAACATCTGCAGAAAATGGGGGTCACTTTGTATTTCACAAGTCAATTTGTAATTGGAATCCAGTTGGTGTTGACATCTGCTGAACAATGAGGTTTAAAACAGCTACTTGTTGTCTTGTTTTCATCTCCTGACCTACAAAATTTATCTTCTACAAACTGGAATAGTGTTGTTCATTGGAACTTGGATAGGACGTTAAATGGAGGCCCTGTGTAGAGGAGAGTCACCACCTTTGCATGTTAAGAACCTCCAGCACTTTTCTTTTATGAATAGGGGGAAAACTAAGTGCTTCTTGGATATACATTGTATAAGTACCTTTCCATCTCAGCCTCTAGAGTGAGGTTCTTTTCCTCAAGATCGGTTGATTCCTGTTTGCTTCTATGAGCCTTCTGTTTAGCCTTTGAAAGCGATGCCTCCAGACTGACGATGCGTTCCCGTAGTAACCCTTCCTGCTGGCGTAAATCCTGGATGTGTTCAGAAGGTGTTGTCAAGGAACAATGTCAATGTATGGTTTGTGAAATGACATGATTACTTCCAAACAGCTAAAGCACTAGCTCTTGAAAAAATTAATTTGATTATTTATTATATTATATTATACAAATATGCCAAGCATTCAGTTCGTAAGAATAGTGGAAATTATATATCTTCGGAGGGACTGGCAATATTCGACCCCCCCCCCCCTAAAAAAGAGTAACTATTGCCAGTCCCTCTGAAGATATATAATTTCCACTATTCTTAAAAACTAAATGCTTGGTATATTTGTTTCATATCCCTTCTTTACAATCCAAACCGATTTGACACCATGTTGAAAAATCCTTTTAAAGGCCAACATTTGACATAATGATTGGCTGGCATATGGTTTTAATGCGCTATCATGACAATTTATTCTCATGTCACCTATCGGAGTTAACCTGCGCACAATATATTAATGCACATTTTATAATGAGACGCGCTAATTGCGCATTACTTTTGATTGAACGTGTGATGTCACAATGCTTATCTACCTGAAAATCTCAAAGAGCATGACCACCAATTGACCAATCATGTATTTAGAAAAGTCATGAATATTCACAGAAGGGATATAAATTCAGTTATTCTTTTATTTATATTTTCATATACCACTTAATTTATGAGCATGATATTGGATCAAATTTATAACATTTACTTTAATACTAATTTTTCATAAAGTAGAATCATATTTTACTATAAAAACAATTTTTATTTCATATATTTAATCATTATATTTCATATTCAACTAGGATTAATGCATTAATGTCAGAATTGAAAGACTAACAAACAATGAAATTAATAAGAGTTGGGTTTGCTTTACCACATATAATTGAACCAATATGTGCTTTGGATAAAAGATATGAAAAAGATCAATGGACTTGTCAACTCATGGCCATCTATACAATATGTATATGTAGTCTGTAATTGGTGAATATATCTGCTGGTGCTCATCAGCATTGTGTTGTTTTCAGAACAATACTGCAATTTCAAACACATTTTTGGCTGTTCCCACAACATATTTAGCTCTGTTATACTTGTGAAATACTGTTCCACGAACAGACCTCAAGATTACCCAACAAAACTAAAAATGATATAGACTTCTAAGGCCTGTCCTCATCAGCTCGAGTTTGCCAAATAACCCACTATTTTCAGACTCGAGAAATTGCGTCTTCACCAGACCGATACGCTCATCACAAACTAGCTCGGACGGGCGCAAATTAGCCTGCTATTTGTTAATATAGCGGGATATTTTCTCCACCAAATATCCTGCTAATTGCAACTGCAGGCTGATGAAGACGCCAATAAACTGGTTAATTTGCGATCGGGATAGTTAAAATAGCGGGTTATTTGGCAAACTCGAGCTGATGAAAACAGGCCTCTAGTGACTTCTAAACCAAAGGATATAGTATCACAGCTCTCCTTGTACTCCTCAGCTGTGGGCAAGTCATGCATGTATCTCTCTATCTTAGTCAGTCTCTTCTTCAGCTTGTCATAGTCCTTCTTACTATGCAGCAGTTGACCTTTGACCTCATGTAGCTCCGCCTCCTTCAGCTTCAACTGAAATAAGACACATTACATATTGATGAGTACAAATGAATTTCATTTAAGAATTATATCTGTGCCATTATTTATAAATTGAGTGAAAGAAACACACCATAAGAGAAACCAAAGAATGTGAAAGAAAATTGGAAATGATAGAGAAAATAAAATAAAAAATGACATTTTGTTGGATGAAGACATAAAATGAGGGACAGAGAGAGACACCCACACACCAACACACACACATGCACAGACAGAGACTGAGAGAGAAACAGAAGAGGGAGACAAAGGGGGGGGGGAAGAAAGGAGGGGAGAAAGATAGACAGAAAGACAGACATACATACAGACAGAGAGACAGGGAAAGATGGTACAAATTTAAAGTTCTAAGGCTACGTCAGAATAGTAAGAGAAAGAGTGAAAGCAAAGATTTTCTAGTACAAGAAGCTCCAATCAACTCTCATCTATTATAACATACCTTTGTTTTGAGTTCATTGATGGTCATTTCATTGGTGAGTTGCGATTCCTCTACCTCCCTAATACACAAAAGCAAAGGGGAAAATGACAACAATGACATACATTTTATGATTCATTTAAGAAACAAAAGTCAATCTTCTTTTATCAATGAAAGGTTTGCCATAAGATCTATAGAGATCTAACCTTTTGTCTGACTTCCATGAAACTCTAACGTTAACCTATCTGTTTTTTCTGATTGTTATCCTTCCACCAAGTCAACATTCAAAGGCAGGCTTGTTCCCTTAACTGTTAAACCAGATAATTCAAGCAAAAGTTAAAGAGTGATCTAGATTCAAGAAATTGACTTGCTGTAAAATGATTGAATGACTACAACATTTAATTTTCCCAATTTGTAAAAATTTATCAATACCTGATGAAAACAATCACAAAAGTTAAAGTCATTAAAATAGTTAGTTTTACAGCAATTTTTATAGGTGACTATATATTATCAAAGCTGACAACTCATATAATTAGACTTACCCTAACTTTCTGCTAAGCTGATCTCCCTCAGCCATCTTAGCAGTAGAGACCTCAGCCAGCTGAGCTCTAAGGGAGGCTATCTCATACTGGTACTCCTGGGTTAGAAGAGTCAAATCCATAGAAATGGCATTTTCTACTACTCACTCAAACATCAACACTCATCACATGTTATTTATAGAGGGATTCTGGGGGAACTGAAATACCTGAACCTGGATGTTGCAAAATCAGTCTATTTACATGTATGTTTGTTGGACAGAATTCTGTGCTTTTTATGCACAAAGGATAAAGAGAAAAAAATATCCAAATTGTATCATTACAAGCTTTAATAATGCTACTGATATATTATATATATATATATATATATATATATATATGTGGTGTTTTCTTTGTAATCTTGATTTTGTTTGAATTATGTACCAATGTTATTGTTATTTTTGATATTTTGTGAGAATCATTTTTAACAAGCCATTTATGTGCTTTTCATGATCCTCCCACTTCAGATATCTTATTATATATATGTTTGTACTTTGATGATTATATAATATTATTTTAATATTGACATGGAAATAAATAAATGAAATGAAACATAATAGATATACACAAATAATTTTCTTATTTGGATGAACATTATTGTAATCACCAAAAGATTTAAAACTGATCATACATTACCAACCCTTCAATACATGAATGTATCTTTACAAAAATGAATCTCCCAACAAATGATTTGTAAAGACCACCCAAGGGAGACAAGAAAAGTGGTCTTTATGGGCAGGTGGTCTTTATGTACAGGTTTCTTTAGTACATGTTTCAATGAGAAACCATTTTCAAGGGACACAAAAAAATGTGGCCTTTGTAAACAGGTGGTCTTTCTATACAGGTGGTCACTAAAGCAGGTTTGACTGTATTTGATAAATTGATCTTACAGTACCTGCATCTTGAGAAAGAGCATATCCCCTTCATCCCTGGATCGTGTATAGATGCGTTGCCTAGCGATGCTCTCCTGCTCATCATTCTGTTTCCTCAAGTGTGCAATCTCTAGCTTTTGCCTGCAAAGATGATAGGGGAAAATATCCAACAATTTTTTTTTTTAATATCATGACAAACTTATTTATTCTCCAGGGCATACCAAAATTAAATGTACAGGCTTGAGCTAAGTTGTATCATGATGGTGAATACACATCCCAACCTGATCTACATGTATATATCCTTGTAAAAGAGGCTCTATTAAATTTTCTCAGGATGTGAAACATTCAATGGATCTTACAAAAGTTGTGTAATGTAAAGCTATAACCTACATGAATTAAATGTTAAAGAGTTTTTTAAAGGTATATACTCACCTTTCAACTATGATATTCCTCTCATGGAGCATACTTTCCTTGGCCCTAATCAGTCCCTCCAAATTGGTTGGCTCTGAGCTCATCACCGGCCCATAACTGAAATTGGAATCTCCCATAGGATAGCCCGCCCCTGCAGCATGCCTGTGCATATCATGGCCTGTTCCACTCCTGCCGGAGGGGTGGTAAGCAGGATTGAGTTGGAGGTGCTGCATCTGCTGCTGCAGACTGAACTGAGAGTCTAAGTTCTGCTGCCATTGAGTCAAGTTCATCTTGGTGTGAAACGGGACCGGATTTCCCGGAGCCCTGGATCCTGGACCTGACTCGGAAGGACCAGGATACTTGGAATAGTCCGGAGGGCAGTAACCGGAGTCTCCATAGGCACCGGAGTACTGACGAGGGCTCTTGGTTAAGGGATGATGAGACACCTTGGAGTAAGAGGAGAGCTGGGAATGATGAGACAACGGGGACCGATGGGCGGGGTTCTTCTCCATCAGGGTGGTATCAGGAACCATGTCTGTTTCATTGAGGGTGTGGTCCCAGTCCAAAGGGAGGAACATATCGTCTTGATCAAGGTTGGATATCTTTGGATCGCTATAGACGAGGGCGGGGTCGTGACCGTCCGTCATGGTCGTAACGTCTTCACTCCCGTCACCCATGCGAGCTCTGGGGCTCATCTGCCTGTCTCTGTGTGGAGATCTAGGGTGGTTCCCTGTATAAAAATGGACAACAATAATGACAATTCATTTGAGATCTATTAAAGCAAAAAAGTTATTACAAAATTATTTATATATTTGTGGTTCCATACCTGTACACTCCATTTAAAAATTAGCTTTAAATATTAATTATGTAAAGAGATATTAAAAATTTAAATACAATCTAAACTGAGGTCATTTTGACTTATATGTACATGTATGAATAGCCTTTTCAACAAACCCATACATCCATACATGAAAGTTAACTCCCGAGTTAATTTCTGTGCAAGCCTGACATGCTCTGTAATCCTAAATGCTATGAATGTCTCACATAATTTTGTGCACACAAATTGCCCCCTGTCAAACGATCTTCTTTCTTTCTATTTTTAATGAATTAAGGGCCTCTAATATTCTACAAGAAAATGGACAGATAGCAAAATCAGCTGATACCACCAAGAAAGAACTCAAATACATGTACAACTCTGATTAAAACAAAAAATCATACCAGCTGTGACAAAATAATCTCACATTTACTATGTTAATCTAAAGAGCCCTCTGCTAAAGACAATTGAATATACCGGTATATATTTTTTTATGCTGGCGGATACGAATATGTATGAATGCCTACCATGTCTACTGGTATACCCATTAGGTCCAGGTGAGTGGTGGCTGGGCTTATCTAGCTGGTTGTTATTAGGAAGGACTTGGGCTACCTTGGGCTGATGAGTTGGTTCTGTAGGAGGGAGAGAGGGAAGGGGAGAGAGGGGAGGGGAAGAAAGAGAGGGAGAGAGGGAGGGAGGAAGAGAGGAAGAGAGAGGGGAGAGGGAGGGAGAGGGGAGAGAGAGGGTGGGGGAGAGAGAAAAGAAAAGAGATGATACAGAAAGAGAAAACAGAAGATGTTTAAAAGTTAGAGAATTACATTTTTTTTTTTAAATAATGGAAAACAAAAACAAAATAAAAGTTGATATATTTTGATGTTCTAAACATAATTTTAATTAAATAAGAGATGACCAATCTCATCACATCTACTGTCACTAGGAATTATCATAGAATACCTCCATAAAGGCTCTTTTCTAATACAGCTCTTCTGAAAGCCCGACTATACCCTTACAAAGTATACATGATGATAAATCATACTGAATCATCATCTCAAAGACAAAGCAAACATATGTGGTGACATTGGTAATACAATCATGGGCTCGCCCTGATTTTTCTAGGAAATCTCATCATTAGTAAGGGCACTCATTTTCATATCATACAGACTATGGTACATGTATAAATATTTCATTAATAATCACATGTCTTCATATTATGTGGAATATATACATGTCAATTTTGTACTTTTGTACTTTGTGTAATCAATTAATTGTACATTCTATTTTCGATACATCAATCAAAAAAGTCTGCAACTCAACATGTATCTCCCAATGCATGTGGATGGACAACAATATCCATTCCATAAAGATACATTTAAAATTGTATACATCCATATGACAACAAATATGAATATATTTGCCAAATTGCCAATACACTAACAAAATCTCTCTCTCTCTCTCTCTCGCCATTTATATGTCTCTCTCTCTCTCTCTCTCTCTCTCTCTCTCTTTGTATGTCTGTCTCTCCCTCCTTCTCTCATTCCCTCCCTCCCTCATCTGGCAATATTATTGATTGTCTGTATTTTTAATTGATACTATGACCAGAATACCAGATGTTTACAAAGCTTAATTACACCTACACACAGCAGAGCTCTGCTAAAAGTACAGCAGTACTGTGAAAAGAGAATAATTAAATTCTACAGTGTACACTGTAGTTCAATAGATATATGTAGACTGATCTTTGTAGTTTTATACATGTACACACGTACATGGATTCTCCAGATGGGTGTAACTGTAAGGTATTTTAACAGGCAATCGTTAGATGTGCAAATACAACTGTGTAACTTTGTTAATGATTGATGTTAAGGTGAACATTCATAAATGTTTTAAATGTCACTTTTCCTAATTAATTCATAACTGATAATTCTGTTTAAACCAAAGCTACCATACCTTTCTCTTAAAGCAAATATCTGATGCAGAAAAGTACACTGAGTATATATATATCTGGAGTCTGCATTTTTTGTTAGCATTGCAAAGTAAAATGGTGTACAATATTCAATCTTGTATCGGTACAATGTACATTTGTACGAGTGTTTGCATTTTAAGATACAACATACAATGAATAACAAGTGATACTCTTTTCACACTTGTTTTGCTTAACCCCGTACTTTGCTTAGCCTGTACTATCCTTATATTCTTTTTGGCTTTTCTCACTGCAATTCCTTAGCCCCGTACTAGCCATGGCCATGGAATTCATTAATTCGCTTCACTGCATAGTCCCGGACTATTTTTCATTTCTGTTCTCATTCATTTGCTTGGCACCGCAATTGCGGAAATAGCAGGAGTTAGCACCACAATTGCGAGGTTAGCCCTGCTATTTTGCAGGGTTAGTTAACCCCGTACTATAGGTGGGGTTAGCCCACTTTGGTAAATACGAGTCTGAACAGAAAGTGGAATAGGCTTAACCCTGTACTATAGGTAGGGCCAAGACCCCCCTTTAACCCCACCTATAGTATGGGGTTAAGCAAATTTTTTCCGGTGTGAAAAGGAAGTGGAATAAGCTTAACCCTGGACTATAGGTAGGGCTAAAAACCCCCCTTTAACCCCACCTATAGTACGGGGTTAAGCAAAATTTTGCCAGTGTGAAAACAGTATAACTAGGCTAGCTTGACAGGTCTTAGTATAGTCCTACATGTACATGTACTTGTACATGTGTTATACATGTATATACATTTGTATACTTGTGTTACCTTGACTACCTGTAATGTTAATACTCATTGGATAATCATGACATGATTCAAAGGTTAAGAATATATTGACATTGACGTCTGAGTAAATATGATTGGTGTCAAACTTATCTGATCATTTTGAATCATCTACTTCTTATGTGGGTTAAATCAAACATTGCAGCAATAAACTGGCAGTGATTCAACGTGTTGGCTTTGACTTCATAAATATGTTTACAAATGCTGTAATGATGGGACAGTTATTTCATTCTTACAATCCATAATTCATACCTTGTGTATCTTGGGGGCATACTTTACGCCATGAACTCAAGATTCAAGATTTGTTAAATAATTAAAGCCTGACCAAAAACAAAAGCTTACCGGTACATACCGGTATGTATTTAGCATTTTTGCTATTTATTGTTCAAGTACTAGCTACATTATGTTTTAAAAAACACGATTGATGTTTGTGCATGTGTATCAAAACAGACAGTGTACATATATGATTTTTAGCCAACACAACATACATGGTATACCAACTTAAAGGATTTTGCAGATTATAGTATACCGGTATGTATTTGCTGTGATAAGAGATTTGTTAATATTTGTTTTAATAAATGTTAAATTACATGTGCTGTGCTGCTTCTTAATTAAAAAAAAGAGGACTAGGTTGGTAAAGCAGAAACATTTATATAGTTTGTTGTACATGTACATAAAAAACAAATGTACTATATTGAAGTATACAGTGATTACAAGCACAATCACATCACACAATAACAACTATTATGAGATGAAAAGCAGGCAACAAATAAACAATATGAATTGAATAGATTAAAAATAAAATGTTGATGCAAACATAATACCATAATATAAGCGGGATAAAAAAACAAAAATGTGGGCCTCCTGAACTCACAAAAAATCCAACAAAACACTCTCAAATTACCTGCAAAATATTGCTCATAATCACTTCCTTCATTGTCTGTGACTGTGGTAGCCGTCAATGGGAGTGAAATCACAGATTGACTATCAAGTTCAACTTCACCATCATCATCTAAACAGTACAAATCCTCCAAGTTCTGCAGTGATCGGCTGAGGTACTTCTGGAAGAAGCCTTTGGTTAGGTCCGGCCGATCACCGTCTCTTCGATGGTCGTCCTCCAGAAAAACATCTGAATCGTCTCTATGCTTCCTCCTCGCTATCTTTCTCTTTAGTGCACTAGACATGATGTAGTCCGATTCATATAATAATATTTTGGTTCGTTTGTTCACATTGTTCACTCCATAAACACATCAACTATGAGGAACACCAAACAGAATATTATCCAAATTCTGCTCTCAGTTTATACAGTATTAAGTTTTCCTGCGAAGAGTACATCCAATTCCTATAGTTTGTAAAACGAAAATGAATCAGTTTTGTCCTCGTCCAAAATCAAGATGAGTTTTTAATTTTCATACTCAAAATAATGATCATCAAGTCAGTCAATAAAAACCATTCTTGATGACCATTAGAACACATTTCTCCCTGCAGTGACAGACCATAATCTCTTCAGCTGGGAAATATACCTAATTTAAGACCAATTTCCCAGATTGTCTGATTCTGAAATCAAAACAGGCAGCCAACACATTTGCTTCATTAGCGGGAAGAGGATGAAAGCACAATCAGTTCCTGAATCTGCTTTCATAAAGCTTCAACATTGGGGCAATACTCTACCCTCTTAGCGAATATCAAGAGAATATATGCCTATGCAAGGCAGATCAGAGTATCAACAAGCCTTTGGAATAAAACAGGAACACAACACTTGATATGGAAATGGATGCCAGGTTCTGGTATTATTCCTCATCCTGTTACCATAGCAACCGGATGATGTCAAACTCTAAGCACATTCAACCATTTCCCTGGAACAAAGTAGAAACGACAATTAAAACGCTACCCTAGCTCACACAAACATGTAGACCTGGCAATTGCATATGTATGCATGTATTTCCACACATGCATGTTGAGTTGTTGACATTAAATCACTCAGACTGATGGATCGGAAAATTATCTGACGCCCAATGAAGGTACATGGACATATATGGCTGTGAAAAATGTGCCATCATTTTCCCCCTGACTGAGCAGCTGAAATGGCGAATGTTATTTATCATCCAAAGTATTTAGACTGCTTGGGTAGTAGCCATAATTTTCAACAAAGGAATAAAAAATGCACAGATAATATGTTCAGCCATGAAGATTAGAGCAAATGTTATGCTGATATGTCTAGGGAGCAATTGAAGAGTACCATTAAAACCAGTCAAGTGGGAAATGAAATCACAGATTGTTTTCTTGAATCACCAAATTAGAGCATTTTGTGATCCAGATGTATAATCCAAATTAAGCCATTGCCTACTGGAATGGGTTGGCTCCTGTATTAAAGTCTATGGAAATGAGATAAGCCAGTAGTCAATAGGTGAAATGAATGACTTATTCCAAGTTTTGCATCAATACTGTTCAAGTACGACTGTTGAAAAGGGAAACAGAAAATCTCTAGAATATTGACTAAAATGAGACAAAAACTAAAAAATCATCAAAATAAGTTCACCCTTTGAGTCAGCTTTAGACCAAGCTACATGTACATGGCTTCCTATGGATAAATTATAAGCTTTCATTTATCACAAATGATCCAAAATATTGTCTTCTGTACAAATGTGTCAAATCCTAGATATACAATGCAAGGTTGCAAACACAGCCACAAAAATCACAGAAGGAGTTGTTTTGACGACTACAGCACTCATTTCCTCCACAGACCATCCTCCTTATCTCACACAGCAACTGTCAAATGCTTTGGCAATTAATGCATGTTTACAAATGCCGGCAAACAAATAATATCTAATCAAGGCAACGCCTGTATACAGGGTAGTTTTAATCAACCTCTAACCATCAAAGAGCGACTACATACATGTATGCAGTGTAAGAGAGCTGCTTTTATCTGGCTAGCCATTCTAATAGAGACCAACTAATTAAAAATAGCTCTACCAATCAATATTTGTCCATACAGCTTGCTACTATACAGTAGTGCAAACCCACAGACACAATGGTATTTCAAAAGCAGGTGAAAACCTTCTTCTGGTGAAAAGCAGGAAAAGCAACCGATATCCAAGTACAGTACCTTTCCCAACTACCCAAATACGGCCAAAAAAAGATGAGAAATATATCTGTCACAATGCTTTCAATTTTTCTATCTGAAGTTATATCACTGACACCTGACTCACGTACTTAAATGGCATTCATACAATAAAGTCACAAGCACTTGGTTGGATGCATAGAACATCCCTTACCTTTAGCCCGAGTGCAAAATGAAAGAAATGCAGTTTTTATTCCAAAATTCTAGTTAATACAGTAGGTACTATGGAGATGCTTCCAGCTGCCCTCAAACTAATGTGAGCTCAGTCTGAATAAAGAGCTTAGATCTACCTCCTTGGTCTGAATAAACAAGTTTTATTCTGCACAAATAAGAGCAAAGTATTGTATCCCAATGATTCCAGGAAGATTCTTACATCTGCAAAAGACCTTCCCTGACTCTCTGTCCAAAGAAAATGTTTTGCACAAACAGGTATCAACAAACCTGATTATGAGATTATCTGATGGAAGATTGACCTAGAGAACACACATTAAAATCCATCTCAGAAATGCATAAAACTAAAACCTCAAAGTTTCACAAAATTCACAATAGATCACAGTTACCTGTGAAAATCTAGTCAAGTCATTGAATTGAAACCATGGTCCAATAAAATCCTCCACCATGCATGCCATTCTTAAACTTTAAAGCCCATGTTTAGTTTTGGTTTGGCACCCAAATACACTTTTTGCCAGAAAAATTTGATTATACATGTTGGCGGTGATGATAATTGTTAATATTAGCTGCCAAAATAAATAATTCACTTGCATGACCCCTCATATAAATTCCTTTGCGTGATGGTTATGTGTAAAACAAATATGGATATACATGTAGCTAGTGTAGGGTGTTGTCTAAGAATCTCTCCAAGGTGGCCGGGCAGTGCATTGGTCCCGGCTGAACCACAGATCACTAGTACGCTCAATTTGGTGTTCCTTTCAGATTCCTCCAAAATCATGGTACTTGCATCTTTTGATTTTAATGAAACAAGACAAGGACATCCATTATCCAACACCAACATTGCTATTGCCTTTTTGATATCAAACTAGATATCATCCGTCTTTAATCTGAAAATATAATCCACTCTACTTTCCAAAGATCATTCTACAAACTTGTTGGTTCGCTATGACTTCATACGATGATTGTGGGTGACTATTAAACAGAAGTGGAATAAACATGATCAATGCATTGAAGACTGAATAGCAATATTGATTATTGGAAACAATACGCTTGCCCTCAAAATAGAATATGTGGTTTTCCAGTCTGGCATAAACAATAGAACTTATATACTAATATGACATTGACTTTTTCTATTGAACACATTTTTTCTAGAGCTGTGCACATTATCTCATAATCAATGAATCTGATGCACATGAATATACAAAATAACCAATCAAATCAACTCGTAGTAATTTTATATACATGTATCTTTAGAATGATATGATCTTTGAAAAACACAACATTGGTGTCCTGTTATGAAAAAGATGAAAGATATTGCCCAAAATAACATTTCCCACACTTGATAGATTTTTCTTCTACATACATGTACCGGTATAGTACCGGTATCCAAATTGTAATTCTTTAAAAACATACTAGACGAATGAAAATGGATATCAATTTTCAAAGCTTCAAAATACTATCTACAGTGTAATCTGATTTTGATTCTTTGCGGCAAAGGTTTTATGTTATCACTTTAATATTGTTTCTCCTACAAATTCTTTAACTATTCATGCACAGAATGGCAGCTAAAGTTTTAATGAATTCTAAGTAATTTATACTAACTACTTTTACACTCCATTCATTTTAAGTATACTAACTACTTTTACACTACAATCATTTTTAGGTGATTAGTCTTGGTATCTACTTTTCCTCCCAAACCCTAATGTCTTTTTAGCACACGTCTGATAATTTGATTCAATCCCTACCTCATAACACAAACTAAAGCCATTCCTAAGACCTCATAAATTGTTTTCTCCTCAAGGAATAAAATGAAAGGCAATTGAAACTATAACCTTAAAATCACTGAAGCAGCTTGTATTCTTTGAAAGCAGGTTTCTTTGTAGGTACTGGCTAAAAGGAGAGTCACCATAAATTCTAAGGAACAAAACCAATGACCTGCAAAGAAAGGGGATAATCCCCTCTTTCATCTGTTATGTGGTACCCATGGGTGAAGACACTTTGGGATTAATCTAATAAATCTTCACTAGGTATCACCTATGCAGTAATCCCTTTTAATAATATATGTCCTATTCTTGTTTATCAATGTGCTTTCTGTCATTGAATAATCTCCACGCTGCTACAGCAATTGATATGGTCGTTTTTTGGAACAATTACACTGTACCTACATGTAGACAATCTAAATAAGTGTGGAAAAGAGGTTGGGCTCCCTGTTTTCAATTGGGGGCTCCCTGTTTTTAATTTAGGGCATAGCTTAGATCAAATAGATTCATGTAAAGACTTGCCATCTATAGAATATGAGACAGATTGTACAAACCACTGCATATCATGTTTTATGTACACTGGGCGCATTGAAAATATGTATTTTTCTTGGTTCTACAACTATGATATGTTTCTTCAACAAGTTAATGAATAATCATTTCCAAGTTAAAGTGTTTGCAGTCTATTAACTGAATAACTTAATAGGTCAAGGTTGGGCTTAAACCATACAGTGCATACACTTCTACTTGTACAATTCAAAACCATTTGACATACCAATAATCTGATGAAGATATCAACTTAGTATAAATTTAGTTTCCTGATTATAAGCTGAAATTTGTCTTTATTCAAAGAAATCTTTGAGGAATATAATAATAATAATAATAATAATGAACGTTATTTGTATAGCGCATATCACTCACATAAAGAAAGTCCCTATGCGCTTAGAAAAGAAGGAAAGAAGGAAATAAGGAAATATAGATTCCAGTATTCGTGCCAATCTAAGACTTGTGAATGATCAGTATCCATAAGAATGTTTTAAAGGATAAATAAGCAAACATCCCCCCCCCCCAACTAATAGTTCTTTCTTTTTTTCCTCCAAATTTCCATTAGAATATCCATACAATGTTTAACATAGATCACATGAATACAATTTACAAATATCATCTGACAAATATACGTTGGGTTATGAATCTGAGCGACTAATTATGAAAAACCATGAAAACATATTGCCATGAAAACATTTTGCCATGAA